GACTGGCTTGTAAACAATCAAAGTAATTTTAAATTTCTTACGTATTTTTATGTCTGAGTATCTATTCCAGGTTGTCTTTGCTGCGGTATTTTAGAAGAGAGTGCTTTTTACTAGCGAATCACATAGACGTGTCCTCTCAAAGCATCTTGTATGTGTTTCCTGCATGCAATTTGGATTTTTTAAAGAACTTTTCCAAAAATAAATGACCTGAATTGATCTATTTCCCATTGTAAAAGGAGAGTGGTGGATGGAGAGAGAAGGGAGTGTAAGAAGAGGGGAGTTTGGAGGTCTGGGTTTGGGGTTTTGGAGCGTACAGAACGACGTGCAAAGCTGGGGTGTGTGACAGTCCCTGTCCTTAGGCTGGTTTCACTGGCTGTGCCCACCCCCACCAAGCACTCTGGTGTCAGTGAGCGTTGCTGAGAGCTGGTAAGAACCGAAGCGCCGCGCTGGTCACCGCTCTGTGTGGGGTTTTGTGGTTCTGAAGGTTCAGGTGTGAAACACAACCTGGATTTTTCACAGAATCACAGAATGTTGGGGATTGGAAGGGACCTCAAAAGATCATCCAGTCCAATCCCCCTGCCAGAACAGGAACCTAAATGAGATCACACAGGAAGGCGTCCAGGCAGGTCTTGAATGTCTCCAGAGAAGGAGACTCCACACCCTCCCTGGGCAGCCTGTCCCAGGGCTCTGTCACCCTCACTGGAAAGAAGTTTCTTCTCAAGTTTAAGCAGAACCTCCTGTGTTCCAGCTCACACCCATTGCCCCTTGTCCTACCATTGGGCATCACTGAGAAGAGCCTGGCTCCATCCTCCTGACATTCGCCCTTTACATATTTATAAACATTAATGAGGTCACCCCTCAGTCTCCTCTTCTCCAAGCTAAAGAGACCAAGCTCCCTCAGCCTTTCCTCAGCAGGGAGATGCTCCACTCCCTTCATCATCTTGGTGGCTCTGTGCTGGACTCTCTCAAGCAGTGGTTTCTGTGCTTTTTTGTTACCACCGTTTCTTCCTGTGTCCTGTGAGCTGCTCCCTCTCTGCTCGTGGAAGAGGGAGACTTGTGGAAAGAGGCTCCTCTAAAATATTCCAGGGATTTCAGAGGGGAGACAGGTTTCAAGTCAGGGTGACACCAGGCAGTGCTGTTAAATCATGTGCCTGGTCTGGTTTATCAGCACTGGTGCTGTTTGTCACCAGAGAGCGGGATTTACACAGACACCTGATGGCTGCTGTCGTTTGATGAGATGGATTCATTTGACTGACAGGTTTTGATGGGAGGATTCACACCTCTGGGGATGGAGATGTGCAAGGAGATGCTTTTAAAAAGCAATTCCAGCTTCGTTGAAAACACCAGACCGAGGCTGTGTGCACCAGACATCGCGTTGTGCTGTTCTCTCACGACTGCTCGGTACTCACGGCTCACGCAGCCAGGAAATGTGCCTGCAGGGGTTATTTTGGTTTTACTATTTTTAAATAAATTTAATGTTAAAGTGTTTGAAATTGCAGGTGCTCATTTAATATAAGGCTCCAGGGAGATCTTCTAGTGGCCTCCCAGTACCTGAAGGGGCTCCAGGGAGGTGGGGAGGGACTTTGGCCAAGGGCAGGGAGTGAGAGAACAAGGGGTGATGGCTTGAAAGTGTCAGAGGGGAGATGGAGCTGAGATGGGAGGAAGAAATTGTTTGGTGTGAGGGTGGTGAGACAGTGTCCCAGGTTGCCCAGAGAAGCTGTGGCTGCTCCTCCCTGGAAGTGTTCTCGGCCAGGTTGGATGAGGCTTTGAGCAACCTGGTCTAGTGGAAGGTGTCCCTGCTGATGGCAGGGGGGTTGGAACTGGATGATCTTTAAGGTCCCTTCCAACCCAAACCAGTCTGGGATTCTATGACTTTTAAGAACAAGCAACAAATTCAGTGTTAGCATCCTAAAAACATTGATGCACTTAAAAGGAAATTTCACTATTCTGTCCTTTCCGTGTAAATTTTCAAGCTTTGTGCTGTAGGAACATGGTTTCAACACAATATTTGCTTCCTCTACATGGTTAGTCCAGCTCTTGAAGATAACTTATGTCTAAAATTGCTAATTTCTGTTCCTCCTCCTTGGTCTGCTTTGTCCTCGGTAACAAAAGGATTTTCAGGGGCTCTGATGGTGCCACGCTTGCGTTTTCTGAGTGGGAGCCGTTCTGCTGAGCCAGCCCCAGCATTGTTCCAATCTCTAACTGCAAAACCAAGTAGTGAAGCTGATGATCCGAGAAGGTCCTTAATTGCACACATGAAATTTGGTTTCTCCTGCCTTAGTGTAGCTGTCAGCAAACCTTGTGATTTTGGAACAGCTGCTCTCATAGAATCCCAGACTGGTTTGGGTTGGAAGGGACCTTAAAGCTCATCCAGTCCCAACCCCCCTGCCAGCAGCAGGGACACCTTCCACTAGACCAGGTTGCTCAAAGCCTCATCCAGCCTGGCCGAGAACACTTCCAGGGAGGAGCAGCCACAGCTTCTCTGGCCAACCTGTTCCAGTGTCTGACCACCCTCACAGTGAAGAACTTCTTCCTAATATCTCATCTAAACCTCCCCTCTTTCAGCTTAAACCCATTTCCCCTTGTTTTGTCATTAGTTGTCCTTATGAAAAGTTCTTCCCCAGCTTTCTTGTAGGCCCCTACAGAACATGTTGATAGACAGTGACCATTATGTTCTGCTTTAATCTACTATATAGTCTTTAAAACACACTCAATCCCAAAGGGATTTAGTATCTTCTCTTACCAAAGTTAAAATTCTGCAGCAGTAATGATTATGATGTGTGTTCCGACGCAGTTAATAGATAACATAAAAATTTTAAAGCACTTATCTTTGAATTTAGTTAAAAATATTAAATTGACAGGTTAAAATTAAATCCTAAGGCAGCAAATGGAATGTATGAAATATTTAATTTGCTGTTTATAAGCTGTTTTAGTAGAACTGTAATATTTACATGTGATTAAAACAACATGACTCTAAGAAAAACTTAAAGGAAAGGACAAAAACATTAAGCCTTATCTGTTAATATATAGAATTATATTCTGCAAATATTAATTAGGGATACGTTCTTTTGATAGAGCAGTCTGGTTTTTGTTGCCCTTTTCTGTGTTCTTTATTAATCCTTCCATGCCATTTATTTTTCTCAAAACTTGTGGTGTTTTTTCGATTTCCCAAAAAATGTAGTAGAAAAATATATTGTAGTAAATCTTTGGAACGAGGAGATGGTTTTTCTTTAGAGTCCTGAAGAGTGGAGGTTTTGTTGTTTGGTTTTTTGTTTGTTTCTTTCTTTTTTTGATGTTGTTTTGGGGTTTTTGTTGAGGTTTTTTTGTTTGTTATTGGAACATCCATTTGCATGTCCAGCAGGTCGAGGGAGGTGATTCTACCCCTCTACTCCACTCTCATAAGGCCCCACCTGGAATACTGCATCCAGTTCTGGAGCCCCCAACACAAGAAAGACATGGACCAGTTAGAACAAGTCCAGAGGAGGCCACCAGGATGATCCGAGGGCTGGAGCAGCTCTGCTGTGAGGACAGGCTGAGAGAGTTGGGGCTGTTCAGCCTGGAGAAGAGAAGGCTCCAGGGAGACCTTCTAGTGGCCTCCCAGTACCTGAAGGGGCTTCAGGAAGGTGGCGAGGGACTTTTCACAAGGGCAGTTAATGACAAAACAAGGGGAAATGGGTTTAAGCTGAAAGAGGGGAGGTTTAGATGAGATATTAGGAAGAAGTTCTTCACTGTGAGGGTGGTCAGACACTGGAACAGGTTGCCCCAGGAAGTTGTGGCTGCTCCTCCCTGGAAGTGTTCTCGGCCAGGTTGGATGAGGCTTTGAGCAACCTGGTCTAGTGGAAGGTGTCCCTGCTGCTGGCAGGGGGGTTGGGACTGGATGAGCTTTAAGGTCCCTTCCAACCCAAACCATTCTATGATTCTAGATCCATGTGAAATATTCAATGGCATGCAAACGTTAGAAGATCTCGAGCAAACTAAACTAGGGCTATGACTTAAACCTGGAGTAAGGAAACCAACTGTACTGAAACATTTTCTTTTCTATCATTTACAACATTACACTTCACGAGTTGTTTCTGTTTTTGGAACTTTTAAATACTTATCTGTTAGCCCAGTGCTGAAAACTGTACGTAACACTTGACAAGATAGCAGGAATTAGTGCTCATCTGTAGAACTCTCAGTATTTTGTGTGAAGAGTCTGCTTTTATGGCCAAGAAAGTGTTTGTTGACTAGAATCTCAATTTAATAGAGTATTAACACTTAATCAATCTTGTTTTTTTTTTCTTTGTAGAAAAAGCTACAAATGAATATAACACCAGTGAGGACTGGGGTCTTATTATGGATATATGTGACAAAGTTGGAAGCACTCCTAATGGGTAAGCTGCATCTCGGTGCTGCAACGTGGAATTTCGTGTTCACTGAAGAAAAATGTTATTTTGGATAGAATGTGCCTCAAAATGCTCCTCGTAGTCATCTATGCACAAAGTGCTACCCATCTGATGCTTCTGCAAGCTCCACACATATCTGTAGTTGGTTTAAAATCCTTTGAAATAAATATTCCACCAGGATTTCTAGTAGAGCAATCTGAATATGCCAACTGCATTCCAATTTTCATGGAGTTTTGCACAGTAGACCAAGTTATTCATATTTAATGTTCTTGAATAAATTTGGAGAAGCAACTGTGCCAGTAGGAAACAGTGAACTAGTTTATTTTCAGGAAATTGCCTGGCTAGGACAGTTAGCTATTCAGGGTGAGAAATTGGTCTGTGTTTATTCATTAGGAAGAATGGGACTGATGGAGGAGAAAAGGGAAAAAAAAGTGATGATCAAAACAGATCAATTGGAATAATTTTAGCCTGAGTGCTGATACTGAAACATAAGTGGTCGTTCAGTGATTCTGTAGTGGCCAAAAGTAATTGGTGAATTTTAAGGTATCTTTTTGAGTGATAACATGTTTTAAATTTTGAAATAAACCTGAATTAGTGCAGAGACTGAATTCTTAAGTGATCTTGAAATTTTTATCAGTTATGTGTAACATTTAAGATTACTACACTGAGAAAGTTGTGGTGGTGCTGTTGTTGTTGTTATTATTATTATTATTAATCTCCCACAGGGAATAGCAAATCTATTCCATCTGGGAATCTTTAGTCCTGAAGAAAAAAAAAATATAGAATGTGCTTTGAGTCCTTTCTTAAAAATCAGGTTGTTTTTTTGTTTTTTTTTAGTGCCAAAGGACTTTTGTAGAGGGAGCTCATTTAAATCTGCTTGTTTTGGAAGAGGAGAGATTATAAGAAATTTAGAGGGGTTTTGTTTTATTTATAGAGGGGGTGTTTTTATTTACACATGCAAAATATATAGCTATGTCTATAAAATATGTAATTAAAACTTAATATATTTTTTTATCTATACAATGAAACCCTAAATTCTGACTTTTAAGTGCCACTACTGCTAGCATATTTTACTTCAATTTTCTCTAGTTTTCTTCCTGCTTGCCCTTCACTAGGAACCTGAAAATTCTTCTGAAAATAATAAATATGGTTGCCTACCCTTAAATAAATATAGAGTTTAACAACAAGGATGTTGACTTTGGGTTGTTTGTATATTAACTATGAGCAAACATACTTAATGTTTAGGATTAAAACCATATTTCTCCAGCTGTGTGTGCGTCACCAAGTGACTTGGAAGACTCAGACTGGAGTAATAAACCAGAGCAGTTGGTACTGAAGCCACTGCACCCATCCAGTTTGCAGCTTAGGCTCTTTGGGGTTTTTTCCCCCCCTTTCAGAACAGGTTTAGTCTCTTCTCCTAAACTTAATATCCTCACCAGCACTGGTGCAAATTTGTCTGCAGATCCTGTCACTGGGTTGGACTCTCGTGGCTCCTTGAGAGCTTGGAGCACATTAGGTGTCCACAGAGGAACTTCTGGCTTTAGTTTCTTCCAGAAGGAAATTAATTTGTGTGTGCAGAACTCCACTGTGAGCTAAATGTGCATCAAGAGAAGCGTGTCCAGCAGGTCGAGGGAGGTGATTCTCCCCCTCTACTCCACTCTCATAAGGCCCCACCTGGAGTACTGCGTCCAGTTCTGGAGCCCCCAACACAAGAGAGACCTGGAGCAGCTGGAACAAGTCCAGAGGAGGCCACCAGGATGATGCAAGGGCTGGAGCAGCTCTGCTGTGAGGACAGGCTGAGAGAGTTGGGACTGTTCAGCCTGGGGAAGAGAAGGCTCCGGGGAGATCTTATAGCGGCCTCCCAGTACCTGAAGGGGCTACAAGAAAGCTGGGGAAGGACTTTTCATAAGGGCAGTTAATGACAGAACAAGAGGAAATGGGTTTAAACTGAAAGAGGGGAGGTTTAGATTAGATATTAGGAAGAAGTTCTTCACTGTGAGGGTGGTCAGACACTGGCCCAGGTTGCCCAAGGAAGCTGTGGCTGCTCCTCCCTGGAAGTGTTCTCGGCCAGGTTGGATGAGGCTTTGAGCAACCTGGTCTAGTGGAAGGTGTCCCTGCTGCTGGCAGGGGGGTTGGGACTGGATGAGCTTTAAGGTCCCTTCCAACCCAAACCAGTCTGGGATTCTGTGTGGGAATGATCAGAAAACTTGTTTCAAAAGCAGACAACTGCTCTAAACCAAAATGTGAATATAGATGCAGTTTATTATCCTGTTTAATATGATGGCATAAAACTTTTCTCAGTGCTGCACACACAATACACTGAAGCAGACATCTTTTGAGACAACACCTTGGAACAAACTTCTTTTTTAATGTTAGTAGTGAAACAGTTTTGGTTTAATTTCTGCACAGGTTTGGTTTTGTTGGGTTTTTTTAAAGCTTTGCCTAAGGTTGCAATTCTATGATGACTTTAAATTAACAGGAAGGAGAATTTGCATCCAAGAGGCTTGTTGGATATTTCCTCTAGCCCCTTGTGTGGTGGATTCCTCATGAATCTCCTGCCCATGGGGGACAAGAGATGGAACAGCCCCTTGGCAGAGCCCAATGCCCATGGAGCTGATCCATTGCAATATTCCTCACCCACCCTAGACCTTGCACTTGCAGACTGGCAAAACACAAAGTCCTTCGACTGCCAGTGACAATTGGAAACATCAGTATATTATCACCTTTCTTCTCCTAACAAATCCCAGCTGGAACCAAACCCCAGCGCTGTTCTGGCTGCTGGAAAGAACCAGCTCTGGCCCAGCTCAGCACCAGGACAGGACCACATTGCCCCAGGACAGGGACAGTAGGTGTTGGGTCCATCACTTTCATCAGTGGCTTTCACTTGTCCCTGCTTCAGGTGACCAGGGACTAGAGCCTTAGTGGTGAAGAGCACGGGTTGGTTGAGCTGAGATCACTGGGTGACGTGGAGAAACACAACTTGCAGAGACATTTCTGTACTTGGTTAAAATAGCAGCTCAAGTGGACTACAAGGGATATGAGTTGTAAAGTTCCTGTGTCAGCTCTTTACAAAGTGTTTTCATATTTTTAGGGGGTTCCAAATAATAGTGTTAACAAAGCTTTACATCTGCCTCAGCCCATGTAGGTGCTGCGTGCCATTAATGCTCTTTTTAAGTAGGAGACTCCTTAGTAGAGTAACATTTAGAGTGTTCATAATTATTCTGTGCTCATCTCAGATTTTGCTGAAACAAATTATAAAATCTTAGTGTCTTGAAAATGGGATCCAAGAGCTGACAACCTGTGAGCATGATTTTTAAATTAAATAAATGGTTATTTTACTGGCTATTGTAAAGGGTCTCTGTGGATTTAATCACCATGCTCCTCATTCTTTTTTCTTTATGTAGTAATTTCTTTCGTTGTCCATTTCAAATCCATTTCCTCAAGTTAATTGCAATTGCTCCCTTTATGACCTGTCAGCAGTTTTATGGAAATTAATACAAAATGCCAGTGTAAAAATGCTCTGTTGCAATCAATCCAATACGCATTTAAGAACAAGTTGCTAATTATTTTTTCCAGAGTAGCTCTAGGAGATGTTTAGGTGAGGTTACATTTCTCAGTAGACCCAGTTGTGATTGCTTACCCAGCTTGGGTATCTGATATCCTTCATTCCACGCATCGTGTCAGTCACATTTATCACTGATAGTTTCTTTGTTCCTTTTTCAGAGCAAAGGATTGCCTTAAAGCCATCATGAAGAGAGTAAATCATAAAGTTCCCCATGTGGCTTTGCAAGCACTTACAGTGAGTAGACTGTCACTATTTTCAAAAACCTTTGTGTTCTTTTATGTCATGCAGCTATTAAATATGTCCTGATCAATTAATACCTGTATACATCTTCAGCAGAAGGCAGTCAGAGCGTGCATGCTGAACAGAGGATTAAATTGAACTCTTTTTTTCTATATGCTTTTATTTTTTTGGATGATTTTCATTGTTGTCACACGTTTTCACCATTTTATTTCTGTTGTCAGCTTTTAGGAGCCTGTGTATCAAACTGTGGGAAAATATTTCACTTAGAAGTATGTTCTCGTGATTTTGCTAGTGAAGCTCGTGGAATAATAAATAAGGTAATTTTTTTATAACCTTGTGTACTGGGGGAGAATTATTTCAGTAACTTCTTTGCCTTGTCTCAGCGTAACAAAGAACTGGCAAAACTGATGTTCTAGTTGATAGTTTTGGTGCCATGGCAGATACTGCTGGCTGTTTGTCTTATCACTGACATCAATGTACTTTAATTTTTACTATGAAAATATAATATATTTTAAAAAGTGATAGGCTGATTATACCTACTCCAAATTTTTACAAAATTACATGAGCAGTTTTAATTAAAATCTGTGGCTCTTCCTAAGCTCAATTAAGTTGCTAATGGTGAAGGCAGCTTTTCTCAAAGAGAATTTTTATTTGACTTGAATGAAATTCATGGGCTGAAGTGCAAAGGGAAAAACTGTGAGAAAGTTAAACTGTGTTTTTACAAGGAAAAGGCTGAAGTCTTCAGACAACTTTCTTAGTTTCCAGAGTTTTTCAGAATGTTGAATGAGAAGGTGACCAAGAAAGGAAGAGCTAAATGGTTGGGGTCAAGCAGCCGATGGGACCTTAAGCAGGATGTAATGAATTGAGTAAGCAGAAACAGCTTTCTCCTAATTACTGCTGCAGTTGAAGACAAAAAGGGCTAATGGGTTAAAAAGAAGTTAGTCTTCAAATATATGGGAGGCCTGGAATCATCAGAGGTGGAGCAAAGCAATTAAGGAAACTAATAAAATTGCTGGGAAGCAAAATGAGTTCACAGCTCTTCTGTTTCTGGCTTTGTATGGAAAAATAGGTCTTAAAGTCCTCCCCTTTGTTCTCATTAGCCATGGTCCCTTCAGAAATAGAACATTGACCTTCGTGGTCTGAAAGCACTTGTGGACATAAAAACAAACCTTTAATCCCACTGAAGAATGGTCTGCTGGAGCCTGATTTATTTTGTTGCTGGGAAATCCTTATGTTTGACCCTCGTCCCTGGCCCACTTGGAGGAATAATATTCAGAGGGCAGATGAAATCATACTTCCTCTTTTTTCTCCAAAAGCAGATTAGTGCAGACAAGTGTCTTTGTGCTTATTCTGAGCCTATCAAGCTGCATTAAATACATGCTGTAGCCCGGGCTTGCTGATGTTCTTACTGGTTACCTGTGAGGCACAGGCTGACAGTGGGATCTGAACTACACTCAGATGAGAAATCTCAGCCACGTGCTGCATTTGTGCAGTCCCAGGCTCTCACCCAGACAAGCCAAGTGAAGCTGATGTAGGGGAGCCCACCAGCCCCCAGAACTCTTATTCACCAGCAGGTATCCTGAGGTTAGTTTGGATGCTTTGGGTTCAAACTATAGTCTTTTCATCAACTGTCAGCATAACCAGAAAGAGTATGAGAGTCTGGAGTGCTGTGGTCCATGTTCTACCCTCGTAGTGTTGGTAGGACCTTCACAGATATCAGCTGCTCTATTGAAGAGTTGCTCTTTTTGTTCCATTAATTTTTTTTAAGGCTGTTACAGGTTTAACAGCTGATGTTTGATGTTTCTGAGGTGTACGCTGAAGGTTATTCTTTAGCCATGCAGTAGAGGAATACGTGACTCTGACCTGCTTTTCTGAAGGTGGATCATCACTTTGGGTGAGGTTGTTAGCACATAAAATGTGTAGTGTTGAATTAAATCGGTGGTCCTACATGGATTTAAAGTAGCCATAAATCCTGTGGGTGAGAGTGGAGGCAGGAGAGGTGTAGAGGCTATTTCATGAGAGGGGCTAGAGAAGAAGGTGGCAACCAGGGGAATTGCAGGCAGAGCCTGAACTTGATCTTGGCTTGCCCCTACTCCAAGCAAATATCTTCCTTTACCAGACTGCGTGCCTGCACCTCAGTTCCTAACTCAGGACCTAATAGCATAGACTGTCCCATGAGCCGAGTGGCACGGTATGTAATGCATGATCCCTTTTTGTGAGAGAATCTGAATCAAGGAGACATACATACATACATACATATAGATGTATTGACAGAGATGGTACAGAGATCAGGTTTGTGTAAATTCCTATCATCTGAGAAGTCAACACTGATCTTATAGCGGCCTCCCAGTACCTGGAGGGGCTACAAGAAAGCTGGAGAAGGACTTTTCATAAGGGCAGTTAATGACAAAACCAGGGGAAATGGGTTTAAGCTGAAAGAGGGGAGGTTTAGATGAGATATTAGGAAGAAGTTCTTCACTGTGAGGGTGGTCAGACACTGGAACAGGTTGCCCAAGGAAGCTGTAGATGCCCCCTCCCTGGAAGTGTTGAAGGCCAGGTTGGATGAGGCTTTGAGCAACCTGGTCTAGTGGAAGGTGTCCCTGCTGCTGGCAGGGGGGGTGGAACTGGATGACCTTGAAGGTCCCTTCTAATCCTAACCATTCTATGATTCCTGGTATCTGAGGAGAAGAAAGCAGAGACTGTAAAAGGTAGAGAAGGGCTGTGGTCTAATATAAGATGCTGTCTTTCC